TACCTTCAAATAAGGAATTAGGGATCCCTATATATTTTAATGACAGCTTTGGTGGCATAGTGCCTAAGGCATTTGACTGCTAACCAGAAGGCTGGTGGTTCAAACCCACCAGCCACTCCCCAGAAGGGAGATTGAGCAATCTACTTCCATAGAGATATCGCCTCAGAAACCCCTGGAGAGGGTACTATGAGTTGAATCAACTCTACATGAGTATATTAAAATATATAGGCATTACCTTCAAATAAGGAATCAGGGATCCCTATAGAGAGGTCTGGTAGCATCGTGCCTAAGGCACTTAACTGCTAACCAGAAGGCTGGTGGTTCAAACCCACCAGCCACTCCTTGGAAGGAAGGTTGGGCAATCTACTTCAGTAGTGATACCACTTCAGAAACCCAAGGAGGGGTCGCTATGAGTCAGTCTGACTTGATAGCACATAGCAACAGTAACACCATATTAAAATATATAACGCAAACACAATGCACTGCCATGGAGTTGGATTTGACTCATAGCCACCCTTCCTTGGGTTTCCAAGGCAGTATCATTACAGAAGTACATTGCCCAACAACCTTCCAAGGAGGGGCTGGTGGGTTTGAACCAGCGGCCTTCTGGTTAACAGTGAAATGCCTTAGGCACTATTCCACCTGAGCTCCCATTAAAGTATATAGGGATCCTCAATTCCTCATTTGAAAGTAATCATGATACTCCAATGCTTGGAATAAATAGACTTCAAGAGAAGCACATCTTAGTCAAATCTTTAAAAGTCTTTAAATTAAATATATGACATACGTTAACATAACAATTATGGATATTACAAAATTTGGACATTTGTAAATTACTGCAATCTATTTTACTCCATCAGCAAATGAGCAGCACTTATAATTGTGTCAACTTTCACTTACATTCACATATTAATGAACAGGTGTATCATAAAAATTGGGATTTTGTCATTTCATCTTTTTCATTTCTAAATCATGATTTTACTGGAACCTTTACTATTTTCCAGAGAAATTCAATTATTGGTGCATTCATTAGTGTGAGAATTATTGCATTCATTAGTGTGAGATTTGTTTCCATTTGTTCATGGAAATGAACTGGTAGCATTGGGAGAATGCTGGTTATGGATTTTTTTGAAGTGCTTCGTTTTACAGAAATTCAGGTAGAGAGGCTTATGTAGATAAAGTGATGTGCTTAACATCCGTGATCTAGCCAGAAGATCTAGAGAACACTGGTTGTTTGATTTATAGCCCAAATATCCTTCTAGTATATATAAAAAAAATGGAAGCCATGTTACTGTATATCTGCTATGTAAGTATTAAATATATTTGCCTGTAGGTCATAGGTTTTCTTTAAGTTGTCCAGAATGCTAAACAGCAAAGTCATATACTAGGAGTATATCCTGAGGTTAATGAGAATTTTAAGAAATCTTGATTTTCAATCCCTCTATTGCTACTCATGGGTGGTCATTACTCTGGGGAATTCAGTTCATCCTTTTTTACTCCATCCTCCAATGGAGTTAATAGCAATAATTTTTTTCCTGCTATATAGGATTGTTTTGCAAATGAAGTGAAGTAATGTGTGTGTACTAGAAAGAGCAAAGTCTTTAGGACCCAGTAGGTTGAACTTAGGAGCTCTGGTAGCACAGTGCCTAAGACAGCTGAATGCTAACCAGAAATTGGTGGTTCAAACCCACCAGCCACTCCGCTGAAGCAAGACTGGGCAATCTACTTCCATAAAGATTTACCACCTCAGAAACCCAATAGGGGTCGCTATGAATTAGAATTGACTCTATGGCAGTTTTTTTTTTTTTTTTCTGTAATAAGAAAGTCAAGATATTTCCTTAAGCTTTGGTTTCTTGAACTATCAAATAGATGTAAAAACCATTTGCCGACAAGTCAATTGCAACTCCTGGCGACCCCATATGTGTCAAAGTAGAACTATGCTCCATAGAGTTTTCAGTGGCAAAATTTTGGAAGTAGAACGTCAGTCAGTCCTTTCTTCTGAGGCACCTCTGGGTGGACTCAGACCTCCAGTTTTTCAGTTAGCTGCCAACTAAGTTAACCATTTGGACCACAGACAGGGATCAAAACAGATGTACCAGTATCTCATCCAGATTATTGTTAGAAATTTGAGATACCAGATGCAAGTGACCTGCTGTACGACTTAGTACTTACCCCTCAAATTAATAGCTATCATTATAATTTCATTGTCCACAAGAGCATTAGGAATTTGTGGAAAGAAAAAAAAAAAACCTTTTTTCAAACCTTATCAAACCTTAACTCTGCCTAATACAGTTTGTGAAATATCACATCAGCCCTTTTCTTGTGTTTCTGTTTTTTGATAGTTGTTTTTAAGCCTGTTAGAAAGATAAAATAACCTAACACAAGTCCTCATATGGTTGTTATGATTAAATGAGAGAACACAGGTAAAAGCATCTAGCATAGTCCCTGGCATCTAGGCTACTCGATAAATGTTTATCAAGTCTAAATTTAAGGTATATGCCTCATCTAAATAGCAACTATTAGTGTCTTTATCACCAGCCACTTCTCGGAAGGAAGATGGGGCAATCTCCTTCCGTAGTGATACTGCCTTGGAAACCCAAGGAGGGGTCACTATGAGTCAGGTCCGACTCTATGGCACATAACAACAACAGTGTCTTTATGTATCCATAGACATGGCAAATTCAGTTAGATATGTTTCTGATTTTATCTTTTCCAAATAACCTCATCTTGAAGAAGTTATTCATTTTTCAGTAGTATATGCTAAAAGTCAGGTACTTGAAAAAAGTGACTCTGTATTTGAGCCTTATATCTTTATGTAGTAATAAAGAGGCCAAGAATGTTCTACAGGTTTCAGAAATCTGGCGGCTGTTTCTTTAACTCTGCAACTTAGACAGAAGACTTCTGTTTCTTTATGAGCATACTACAGTGAATATTTTGTCTAGCTGCAGGGGAAAAGCTTTGTCATGGACTTTGCAGACAATAGCCTTAAAAGTAAAATGGTCTGCTTTTGGTGCTGGAAGGTTCAGGGGCCTATTGTTAGGGCACAATGGATTTCTATTGCAGCATTCCTGCTTTGCAAAGGTTTGTTAGCTTTTAATGACTGACAGTACTCAATTGCACATACCATGTTGGCTGTGCCCTGTTTACATGCTCCTCAAGAATTTTTGTAAAGGCCTGAAAAAAAAAAGAAAGTGGTGTTTATTTGACCTATTCTGATAAAGTTTAAAAAATTACTGGGAATGTAGAAATGTTGGAAATCCTGACAGGTTTTAAAATTTACTTTTAAAGCCTCACCAAATAGGCATATTGATTATACTCAGAAAACCTAATGTTTTATTACATATAGACATGCTTTTATTTTCAAAACATTATGTATAAACATAGGGTATTTAAAAAAATAAAAGAATTGTTTAATATATTTCTTAAGTGTGAAGATAGAAATGTATTTTGTTATAAAGGAAAAAAAAACAATTCACACATTACATAGGTAAATCTTGACATAGTAGTTGTGGTATGTGGTTCTGTATTTTACCTGTATATGCTGACTAGGTAAAGCAGTGGTCAATCAGAGATTTTCATTGTTTTATTTTATTCAAATCGGAATCAACTCGGCGGCAGTGGGTTTTTTTTGGGTTGAGGGTTAGAAATATTTATACCATTGCAGTTTTTCCAAGGAAACCTGCACTTCCGCTCTTTTGAAAACTCCATACAGGCTTTGCGACTCTGGTAACTTACCGCTGTTAAGATGAGGCCCTGAAAAAAAGACAACATTAACCAAAGACAATGACGAAGGCTCCTTAAAATGCATTTTACTGTGGGGAAAATTAACCAGTTTCTAATAATCTTATGGTCTCTAGGCCAGACGGTCCCTTTGATAAGTTAACATGTACTCCCTTTATGCTCCTAGTAGGGGGTAAACAAATGCCTGAACAAACACAAATACACATAAACACCAATGTGGAGAATGGCAGTGTATGTCTTAGATCTAGATAATAAGTGTGGGTATTGTTATTTAGATGGCACATACTGGGACACTTATCTTTTAGTACACTCCATTTTCTAACTGAATGCAGTGCTAATCGTGGGATTGAAAGCCATTGTAATTGTGTACCCATCTAAATGCTGACAAGAATATACAATTACATTGTTTGGAACTGAGTTTAATGTTTGAGAATTTTGTTAGCATCTACATTTACTTATACATTAAAATTCAACACAAAGGGAGAGGACAAAAACCATGTGATAAATAGACACAAATATCAGACTAATGTATTACCTTGCTCTGTAAAATGTATGTGCCCTTTCCCAATACAGGGCATTTTAAAAGAGTGTGATACAAATCTGAGATAAGCAAATAATAGGTTTCCATTGTAGACATTAGCTATTTCTCTAGGTTTTGCAATCGTTTTAAATCTTCTTTTATATCAACTTTTTTTTTTTTTTTTTTTAATATTCGAAGTACTGGCAAATCTTCCCACAGTGTGCTGGTGTGCTTACCAGCACACAATGTTAAACACATATTATAAAGTGGATGTAACTGTAAACACACAGAGGGATATAATTACATGTAGCAGATTTAAGAGCTAATTCTTTGTCTTTTTTTTTTTTTTTTTTTTTCTTTTTTGCTCACATTTTATCAACATAATTATTTTTTGACTGTGGGCTAACACCCTGAAATTGACAAGCATCCATTATAGCAGGAATTTGTTCACCAAATTGAAAATCAATGAACTGCAGGTTTATATGTACCCATTGTCATAAAGAATTAGTATGGCTTTGTTCCGCAAGAGGAAAAAGCTAATGATTTTGAAACAGCAGGTGACAAAAGACATTCTTTTTTTTCCTCCCTTCTTATCAGTTTGTTGATGAAGTCATCATGGACTGGGGCCCAGATAGGGATGGCCTTATTTTTAGCAGATAGACTTTTAATGAGCTCTATTGTAAACATACTCGTTTTGATTTGCTTACTTTTTTTTTTTTTTTTCTTCTTGTTTATTTAGAAACCCCCAGTATTGAAAAGCTACTCTCGAAGGACTGGAAGGACAAGCTTCTTGCAATGGGATCAGGGAACTTTGGCGAAATAAAAGGTAATGTGCCTGTGACTATTTTGATTTAAAATATTCCAAAATGACTTTGATATTTGAAATCATAAATGGTGATAAATATTTTTGCTTTGACCCTCCCTTTCTGTCTCATGCATTTTCTGTCTCTAGTGTTTTCTCTTTCTACCCTGAAAGGGGCATATCAGGGTTCCTATTTTCTCTGCGTACCTTATAGGATAAACACTATGTTGTCTTAACAGAATAACCCCACTGTATCCTTAACAAACTTTGGTTTTCATCATTTCCTTTTTTATTTAAGTGGTTTATCCTATAAGTGGGAATATACCTTTATCAAGGTTAAAAACTGCAACTTATGTAGTGAGTTTGTATATTCTACATATTGGAAATAAACATATACGTAACCTACAGTTAAAACCCAAAATGAGATGAATGAGTAAGGCATAAATAAATGTTGTTTTATACTCACAAATGTAATATTTTTGGTTTGTTTTATTTGAATCAGCAGTTACATGCAACTAAAAGACAATTTCTAAGTGGACTTTAGAAGACACTGAATATTCGTATTCTAATAAACTTACTAATGACAAGAGCAGATTTAATTTTCTCATATAAAAATAGAATCAAATGGGGCCTTTCAATTAATTTAAAAGCATATTTTCTCAAGGGATAGTAGACAATCTATAGATTTCTATTTCTTGCCAATAGGATACTTAGGATTCTGAGTTGTAAAATAGGATTAATTTTGAGGGAAAAAAATGAGTAACAGCAAGATACTTCTCAATATTGAAATATTTAGTTATATTATTACAGTGTGTATTTTGATTGAGGTTGAATATATATTTAACTTTAGAATTACATTCATATGCATGGCAAAGTATGAATAAGTTCTTTGCCTATGTGTATATGTGCATGTGTTCTCCCAATGAGAGGGGCAGTTGCCTTTCTTAAGGCTGCACTACCTTGAGCATCCTGGAGAAAGGCAGAACATAGTCTTCTCAAATGTTTGGCTTACATGACACCTAATATCTGGATATTTAAAATTTCCAGAAAATGTTTGATTGAATATTTCATTAAGCATTCAGTTAAATGATTAGATGGAGTTACATATAGTAGGCAATGATTAGATGTGAATGGGTAGTGGGAGAATGAATAGGTGCTATTCAAGAAATTTGATAACCAAAATCTACAATGAAATTTCATCAAATTCAGATGTATAATAATTGATGTGCCTTAAAGGGCTTAACGACTCCTGGTAGTGCAGGTTAAACACTTGACTGGTAACTGAAATGTTGGTGGTTCGAACTCACCAGTCTCTCTGTGGGAGAAAGATGTGACAGTCTGCTTTTGTAAAGATTTACAGCCTTAGGAACCCTATGGGGCAGTTCTACTCTGTCCTATAGGGTAATTATGAGTTAGAATTGACTTGACGGCAATGGGTTTTGGGTTTAAAGGGCTTGAAGACAAAGTTTAAAGAAAACTGAGAAGTTTCATTTTCTGAAACAGCAAGGCCTTTAGTATTATTTTGATTGATTTTAACCTATTTGCACTTGAGGTATAGAATTGTATTCTCCAAGGTTCTTTATTCTCCTTTGACCTAGGTAATAACAAAGTAGAGCAGAGACCACCTTTTCCAAGCTTTGTGATCTCATTCCATTGGAGGACAAACATTTTTTCCCTCTCTCGTTTTCCTTCACAAGTCAAACTTAAAAGCAGCAACAACAGTGATGATAAGCTTAGAGGAAAGAGGCTCAGCTGTCCTTTCAGGTTTGCCTGGGGGTTAGTTTAGGAAGCCACGTACTGTCACAAAAGAAGTTTCTGTCTTTAATTTTGAGTTTTTTAAGCTTCACATTCAGACCACAAGTTTGGTTATTGTTCTCTGGTTCTGTACAAAAAGCTGTTTTCTGATGCATTTTAAAAGCAACTGTAGGTCTTTCTTCTGTTGGGGGCATGGTTATTAGGTGCTTGGATCAGGTTTGGCAGTAAACTGGGAAAATACGAGCTGAGTTATTTTTTCTACTGACTGCCCGTGACAGTTGCAATTACTATCCATTGTTCATAGGTGGCTAGAAAGTAGAGAGGATACAATAGTGTGTTGCCCTGTGGGGGTAAATGAATTTGACTTGAAGGTTCTTGGGGGGTCAGGCACGGTGTTTATGTAGTGCCCAGGAATGTGGTTTTTATGCCACCCCAGAAGAAATTAGACGTGAACAAAGGCAGAGCTGTTTGGCAGCTCTTTTTAATGAGGCAAATAAAGTCTCATGTACACGTACACCATTTTTGGAGGAGGGAGGAAAGGGAAGGATAAGTATGAGTTTTTAAAATCTTAACTTATTCAACTATTGGGTAATGGCAATTTAAACAATGTTTTTGAATAGAACCATTCCATGTATTAGGATGTTTACAGGCTTTATTAAGTATTTACAGGGTCTTCATGTGGATTGAAACTTTCTTTTTTTCCATTTAAACTTTTAAGCTGTCCAGTTTTCACTTAAGTGGTAATTAGCTTGGAACATGTGTGTGTGTGTGTGCGCACGTATGCACGCACGTGTGCACGCATCCCTTTCTTAAATGTTTAAAATTGTTGCCAAGTTAAGACTGAGCTCAGTACCAAAGTACCGACTTTAAGTTATTATCAGTAAGTTGCTTTCAGGGTATTTGGACAAATATTAAAAAATACAGCTTGGCAAAGTTTAAAAACATATTTTTTACCATTGCATACTTAGAAAGTAAAAGTGATAAACATTTTTGAATGGGAGAATAAATAAAATTTAATTTACATAGCTCCCTTACATAGTTTAATTGTCAGTAAAGTTCTCATACCCACTTAAAATCAATCTCATTTTTTAAGAAACAGTGTGAGATAATAAAGGTCACCTACTTCTGAAAGCAGATATTTGTTTTTTATGTAGACTATTGTTCCTGTTAAAATTTATACAATTTTATGCTCTGGTGCTTTGGAAATATGAAATAATTAGGTTTTAAAGTTGCATTAGAAACAACATCTAATGAATACACGCATAAATACACTAAATACAGTTTTGTGGAATAAAACAGTTTGACTAAAAGGTTATTCCAACAGCATACAGTTAAGATATTTTATAAACTGATTTACTCTTTACTCCCTGAAGGAATTATTTGTCTCCTTTTTTTCCTAAACAGCCATATAATATAACTGGCCAGTTTACAGTTTTTGCCCTTCTCTCTAGCGGAACACCAAATAACAGTAGTGTGAAAGGTGAGGACTTAGCTTTTATAGTCCCATAGGTATTAAGAAGTGACAACAGCAGCACTTGTGCCCCAGTTAGTGACCAAGAGTGTTACACAATTTTATCAGCTAGCGAGAAATTCCATTATACTGAAGGTCAGGTCATTTCATTCGTGTTTTACCTGAGGGCTGTATCTAGGGGTCCATGGTAGCTTTGACTTATCAAAACAGGTCATTTATTTCTTAACAAAGTAATGGCAAAATTCATATTTTCCTTACTTAATATGTGTTTGTAAAATTATAACACAAATAACTGCATGCACTATTCTCTCATAAATATTTTTGTTTTGATGTATTTATAAAAGTAGGACATTGAGAGGTGTTCTGGCAGGGTCACTCAGAAACATCTAGAGCATTCTTTTCCACCTGCTTTGTTTGAAGAGTTCTTTAGAGCCTGGGTTATGTGCCACTGAGATCCCTGATGGACTTTCCTCACCCTACTCAGAATGCATAGCTTCTTATATAACTAAAATTAATTGAGGCCTGCAAAAGTGTTGTAGCTGATGTTATGGAAAATGTCAACTGCATTTGGCATAATACGTTATTGGCTTTTTGAAGGCTATAATCTTGTTCTTTCTAGAAGATGGGGCATAAGGTCAAATACCAAAGAGCTCTAGAACTGTCACTAGTCAATTTAAAGATATAATCCATTCAGCAATACTATAGCCTTTGAGAGCCCATGAATTAAAGACAAATGCTATGTAGATTCAATGTGTGGATTAAAATGGATAATCTCTCAGGTGGCATGTACAGTTTTGAGATAAAAGGAATGTGTCGATTCAGTTTGTGGCAAGAAAGAAATAATTCTTTTTAAATGACATTTGACAATTTGAAAAGAAGTAGACTTGGGATAGGAATCAGACCCCAAGCAGTAAATCTAGTAAGGGATTCTTGGTAAATTTAAACCATGGAAACTAAAATTTCCGCATTTAGATATCTAAGAGGTTCTATCATTTAGAAAGTTCTTTTCAACCCATTCTTTACAAATTCAGCCTTTTAACTATTTCACATTACCCTAAAAACATGTATGTGTGCACATTCTCTCAAAGCAATTGAAATGTTGATTATTTTCTGAGGGAACTGTTGGACCTGGAATTTGTTCAATTCAGGAGCCTGTCACAAAGAAGGAACAAAACATATAGTCATTTACTTGAAATAGAGTAAATGTTTAATGTTTTTAATCTACTAAGCTTGTACTATTGTTCCTCTGTAGTTGCTGATGAGTGATTTTTTTCACTTTTGTAAAAACTACTTCATAAGAACTAAAGAAAGGCTGCTGGCACACAGCATTTTAAGTTTTCAAAATAAGTTTGGCAATATCTATAAAAGCTGAAAGTGACTTCTCAAACAAAAAAAAAAAAAGTGACTTTCTGTTTCTCAGGATGCCAGCATCCTCATGCCAAAGTCTAAACCCCAGCAAGGGGAGAGAAGAGACTACTCAACAACTGGATCAGTTGATGTGTAAATTAATGATCCGGACCATAAATAAGAAAGTTAACATTACTTTTAAAGAATGTACTTAATAACTGTATGCTTTAAACATAATAATAACTCTTATTTACTCTGGGTTCTATGTTTAAAAATACATATACTCTCCTCAGTATAGTTTCCATTTAAAAATGTATTCATTCATATAACAAATACTCATTTGTGCCAGGGGCTTGAAGATTCTAAAATTAAAAGAATTATAAAGACATGATTTGTTTTCTTGAAGGCAAGGACTCCAAAGCTATTGAAATACTATCCAGATCATTGAATAATGCAATTAACCTAAAATATTTTTCCTGTTTTAAACTAACATTTCTCTTAGTAGGGAAGTGTGGTGTAGTCAAAAAGACTTTTTGTCATATGGCCCTAATTTTTCCAAGTACTTGTGGTTTGACTTTTTGGAAATCAGCTTACCTCATTTTATTTATTTCCTCATCTGTTCATTTTTATAGAAGTTGCAGATTACTATTGATTACATGCCTAATTATGTGACAGGTACTTGTTAAAGATTTCCCTTGGAAAATTATGATAGCAAAGTCACTTTATTCCCATTTTATATATGAAGAAATTGAGACTCAGAGAGATTAATTGTCCAAAATTACATACCATTAGTTGTGGCAAAATTTTGAATGAATACTTCCTGGCTTCTAAGACTGCACTTCTCACCTAGCCAATAAAATCGCACTGGGTGATTTTTTTTAAAATCCTTTAAAACATTTCCACACTCAGCACAACAAGATAAAGAGCCCTACAGATTTGCACTCATGATATTTTGTACTTAAAACTCTTCCTAGCACAGAGGCAATATTCTATTTTGTTAGGCTATTTACCTTCCTTACTGTTGTAGACTGTTAATCATACCGTTGGACCAAAGTTAGGAATCCAGTACATACCTGACGAATGACAAATGAAAAATGTGATGTTTTGAGATGACTGTGTTCAGGTCTGCAAATGAAACAAATTTAATACAGTATTAAAAATAAAACAACAGCTGGTTTTTACTTTGTTTTTGTTGTAGTAGTACAATATATACAGCAAAACTTTTGCCAATTCAACAGTTTCTATATGTATAATTCAGTGATGTTGATTACCTTCTTCATGTTGTACAATCATTATTGCTTTCCTTTTCCTAATTATTCTACCACCAGTATATAAACTAAGCAAAATTCCACCTTTTCCCCTTCTTCCTACCCTTGGTAATCACTAGTAATCTTCGGTTTCTGTATATTTGGTTATGAACCACCAGCCTTCTGGTTAGCAGTCAAATGCCTTAGACACTACGCCACCAGAGCTCCCTTACTTCATATATGTGAGATAATATCATATTTGTTCTTTCGTGACTGAATTTTATTTTTCTTTGGTTCAGCATAATATTTTAAGTTTCATCCACATTGTAGCATAGATCAAACAAAAAAAAAAAAACTCCTTATTTTTTTTCTTTATGGCTGAGTAATGACATAGTGCCTAAGGCATTTAACTGCTAACCAGAAGGCTGATGGTTCAAACCCACCAGTCACTCCTGGGAAGGAAGATTAAGCAATCTACTTCCGTAGTGATATTGCCTCCAAAACCCAAGGAAGGGTCGCTATGAATTGGATCCGACTGGAGGGCAATGAGTTTGGTTTTATTTTTTGAATATTTTATTATGTAAATACTATATTTTGTTCATTCATCTGTTGATGGGCATTTTGGCTTTTCCACTTTTTGGTTTTTGTGATAAATGTAACAAATGCACATTGGTGTACAGGATTCTGTTTCTGTCATGCTTTTATTTCTTCTGGATATATACCTAGGATTGGGATTGTTGGGTCATATAGTAGTACTGTGTTCAACTTTTTGAGGAACTACCAAACTATTTCTGACAGCATCTGCATTATTTTTCATTCTCACCAACAATGGATGAGGATTTCAGTTTCTCCACAATCTCACTAATATCTATTGTTTTCTGATTTGTTTTTTGATCCTTCCCAATTAATGCTGGTGAGGTGGAATATGTGGTTTTGTGGGTTTTACATATTAAGTATAATTTCCAAATGAGTCCATGGAACAACATTCTTGGGAAAAATTCATAAAATGACAATCTTCATTAAAAAGTAAAAATTTCTAATATTTCTTAGAGCCATGCTGTTCAAAAAAAAAAAAAAAAAGATAACAAGGTTGACTTTTGCTTTCACTACAAAAGTAATAATGCACACATCTGTTTCATAATGTTCCCAGAACAAAACATCCATCGATGCATAGGGTGACAGTGGTGAAAGATATAGCTATTTGTCAGATATTTAATTGCTTTCTACAGCAGTTTTACCCTTAATATTGATAGATAGAAAATGGAAGAGTGTGTTGCATGATTTCAGTGTTCAGGGAATACCCACTGAGGAGCTGGCATTTAAGTTACTATCTAGATACATTAAAAAAAAAAAAAAAACTTTTCCATTTAAAAGTAAGTTCCATGAAGAAGGCACCCTCTTCTGGTTTGTCCATTGCATTATCCTTAACCTCTAGAAATGTGTGAGCATACAGGAATTGTTCTGCTCTGTAAATACATTGTGAATGAATTAAAGAAAAAGCCAATGACATGGCTTTGTGAGTGGAGTGGTTCCCAACTGGAGGGGATTTTGCTTCCTCAGTGGAAATTTGGCAATGTCTGGAAACATTTTTAGTTGTCACTTCTTGGCTGGGGTGGGGCAGGGGGGAGGCAATTTAGTGGTGTATATGCTACTGGCATTGAGTGGGAACATCTGAAAATGCTTCCCTTAATATTAGGATTCTAATTACAGCAGTCAGGCAGTTACTCGTTTCAGAGTAAATGTTCCTCTCTAGTGATAGAATCCAAATATTTGAGGTATAATAAATTATTAGGAAATATTTATTGCACATCTGCCCTGAGCATTGCTTGGTGGTATTAATTAAGAGTATAAGACATGGTCTTCTTGCATAAGTTTATGTACAGAGATTTTTTATTTTCCTGATTCGTTCTCTAGTTTGTCTAAAATGCATTAGAAACTTTATTTCCATTCCAAATTGGCACATGAAAATCATAATCCACTAACTATAGCTCTTACTTCCTGAAAAGGCACATGCTTTTTCTGTACAGATTGGTGGGGAAAAATGCAATGGGTTAGGGAAGGGTGACGGAGTTATAACAGATTCTTCTATCTAATTACATATACATGTGGCAAATCCATTATTAAAATACTGCTTAGTGTCTTAGATATGTAGTGAAAATTGTAATTAAAAAGTGTGTTCTCTCCTGTTGCTGGTACTTTACCACAGAGGTCTTGTCTGTCTAGTGAATTTTAGAAGAATAATTAAAAGTGATATTGTTTGTCTTTCAGTGAGCTCACATTTCCTGTGTATCAAATGGTTATTTTAACCTAAGAAAATTCACTGTCGTGTTTAACTAGTTAAGTATGCTGTTTATTTTAAATGACTACCATTACTTCTCCAAATCTTGGATTTATATATAATCTCAGGTGTCCACAATGTGATCTGTTAGTTTGCCAACCACATAAAGTCATTGTGTGTGAGCCTAAATTTGTGTTCTCAAACTTAAACATTTTACTTGTTAATTATATTTTGGTTTTTGTAGAGAGCTTCTGAGTGGCACAAGGGAAAATAGTCTTGACATTGTTTGACTAAACAGATTCTTTACCCCCCCCCTTTAATATGGGATTATTTGATACTGATTCTTAAATATTCAGTTTAAGTATAGCAGAATCATATTATTGATACATATGCCTTGATCTCTTATTTAATAATTACGGTTTTTAATCATGTTTTATCTTACTATTTTAATTAGATTAAAAAAAATACTAAAACCCAAGAACTATGCTTTAGAAATCTTTTTATTGTCCACAGCCTCACATAGAACATTGAAAATAGTAGATGCTCAGCTAACAATTCTTTATTTATTTGCAAAAATCAAAGAAAAAAAGCTAGAGTATTACTTGTCATTATAAACAAAAATCATTGTTTGCTCATTATAGTGTATTTTAACACATAATAGCTATCATTTTTACTGTTGAATGAAAAAGTCTTAAAGATGTGAGGGATATGTTTGTTTATGTATATGTGTTTTGAACCTTGTATTTGGAATAATTCTTTACATAGCAGAGATATTGTCATTGAAAAATTACTCTATTCCCATTTCTCATTTCATGTTTTATCACCATATTATTTTCAGGGACTCCCGAGAGCCTAGCTGAGAAAGAGAGGCAACTCATGGGTATGATCAATCAACTGACTAGCTTACGAGAGCAGCTATTGGCTGCCCATGACGAGCAGAAGAAATTGGCAGCCTCTCAGATTGAGAAGCAGCGCCAGCAAATGGAGTTAGCCAAACAGCAACAAGAACAGGTAAGTAAGAACTAGAGACACAAACGATTTCCTTGCCTGGTATTTATACTACACTATCCTGGGCACACAAAGATGACTGGGAATATCCCTCACTCCAAATAAATGAAAAAAGAAAAAGACCAAAACAAACAAATGAAAAACTGTGATCTTAAGAATCTTAATGACTATGGTGGTTAAGTAAAGCAGAAGTAACAGTAATCAAGGTGAAATTTGATAGATCATGAGCAAAGTACAAAAAGGAATTGAAAAAACATTTCCAGTCCAGAACATTATGAAAGATTTCATGAAACTGGTGATATCTGAGATGAGTTCTAAAGGACAGATAGGATTTAACAAGTGAAGTGAACTTATAATTATGGGGCAGGCAGTTCATTTAGGAGGCTATTACATAATCTAAATAAGGAATGAATGGGTAGAGTAAACTGGGTGGATGGATGACTGTGAACAAAGAGATGGAAAGTATAAACAGGCAAAAGAGTTATTGTAAATAGAATTTTTTTGAGTGGATAAAAAAGAGTGGAAAGGTTTTGAGCCTGAGCAATAGAAGAAATGAGAGATATCTTCAACAGAGTAGCAGAAGTCAAGAGGGCAAATAGAAGGGCAAATTTGGAAAATAAGATGGTTTTATACATGTTGATTTAGAACTATTGTCCAACTGGAAGTTTGTGAAAGACAGAAATAACAATCAGCAGTGTGGAAGAGAGGATTGCTGAGCTAAATTTCTTAGATTATGTACATGATAGTGGAAGTTTAAACCATTGGAGCAGATATGAGTTATTCATTTATTCAAGAAATAATAATTGAGTGCCTCTTACTTTCCAGGCACTATACTAACTGCTGAGACTGCTGCAGTTAACCAGAAGACAAAGACAAAATCCCTAAATTCTAGTGCAAAGAGAGAGACAATTAATAAAGGAACAGAGATATTAACAAAATAATTTCAGATAGCGATAAATAATTAAAAGAAACTTTAAAAGAGCAATGTATAAATATTCATTGGTAAGGCAAGACAGTGCTTCTTACATTGGAGGGTTGGATAGATCTTTATGAGGTTGTGGTAATTGAGCTCATGCTTAAATGATAAAAGAGAGGCAGCCATATTAATATCTAAGGCACAGTATTTCTTGAAGAGGAAGAGCAGATTGATAGGCCTTAAATTAGAGTGGTGGTGTCATGAGAAAATGGAAAGGAACTAAGAGTAGAGCCTTGGGAGATGCTGACATATAGGTCGTAGGGACAGGAAACTAAGCATATCCAGAGTAATCAAAGGTACAGAGAGAGCCAGAAGTGCAATGTCATAGGAACAAGAGAAGATGAAGATTTTAAGAATAGGCAACAGTGTTAAATGCTACAGGCAATTAATGTCATTATTCTAGCACAAACAGGACGTTACTGAATTTGTCATTGTTACTTTTAAGAGTGGTCCTTCTGTGGAGTTTTATAAGCGGAAATATGACAATAAGAACTAACAAAGATACAGTTAGAAAATGGGAACAACACATACAAACTATCAAGTCAGGAAAGTTGCTAGTAATTTGATGGGAAGGTAGCAGGTTTAGAAGGGTCATCTTAAATTTAAGGATGGCATCTATTTTCCTGGACTAAATCCCTTTATATCACATGTTATGTGTTCAGTCCATCACCATACCAAGTGGAAGTGAGGCACTCATTTAGTCATGGGTATTTGTGTCTCTATGGAGTCCTGGTGGAGCAATGGTTAAATACTTGGTCACTGACTGAAAGCTCAGCAGTTCAAATTCACCAGCAGCTCCACAGGAGAAAGGACTTGATGATCTACTTCCATAAAAACTATAGCCCAGGAAACCCTAAGGGATAGTTCTGTTCTGTTATATAAGATTACTGTGAGTCAGCACCGGCTTCACAGCATACAACAACAACAGTTTTTGTCTCTACACATCCAGTCATGATGTTGGCAAATTATGATGTTGGTGAAGAATATTGAATATATCATGGCCTGACAGAAAATGAATGAACATGTCTTGGAATAAGTACAGCCAGAAGGCTCCTTAGATGCAAGGATGGGGAGACTTTGTCTCATGTACTGTGGACATTCATTAGAATGGACTAGTCCCTAGAGAAGAGTATCAACTGGATAAATAAACACAGTGGCTGCAACAATGGGCTCAAACATAGCAAAGGTTGTGAGAATGGCACAGGACGGGGCAGCATTTCATTCTGTTGGACATAGGGTCACTGTGAGTGAGCACCAACTCAACAGCACCTAACACCACCACACACATCCTTGCAGAGCCCTTTAAACAGCTTTCAAAGCATTAAAAAAAGGTGAAGAAATACTCGGAATGCATTGCATTTAAGAGCCCCCCACTCCCCTACTTGTTTCGTTTATGAATGAAAGGTGACATTTTTAAAATGAAATGCTTCATCATATTCATAATAATGTATTTTACCTGTTAGTAGATGTCCCATATTGTCTTGCTTTAATCTTGTGACAAAAGAGTTCAGAATGAAGGTGCAACTATTGGTCTCTTCTTATCCAGAGCACAGAAGAGTGAAGAAAATCAAAGACACAGGGAATCAATTAGTCCAAAGGACTAGTAGACCATGTAAACCTCAGCCTCCATGACCCTGAGACCAGAAGAACTACATGATGGCTGGATACTACTGCCAGCCACTCTGGCAGGGATCATAAAAGAAGATCCTGGATAGAGTGGGAGAAAAATATGGAACAAATCTTAAAATAATAATTAAAAACAATACCAGGCTTACTGGTCTGAGGGACTTGTGGAACCCCTAAGAACATGGGCCTTAGTCACTCTTCAGGCCCAAGTCTCTTGTCTCAACATTCAGCCAAACAATAGAGAACTATGAAGTGAACAATAACACCAGATAGGCACACATTCCTTAGAACAGTCAACCATAAGAGATCAAAAGGGCAGCATTTGCCCAGGAGGTAACACTTGGAAGGTAGCAATGGATAAGACAGGAGGGCAAAGGGAAATGGTAACCACAGGGAGGAAGTAGAAAAGTGCTGTTATATTGTAAGCATTATAATCAATGTCAGGAAACAAAATGAGTATGACTTGTTAAATGAAAAACCAATTTACTCTGTAAACCTTCATTCAAATCGCAATAAAAAGTTAATAATAATAATAATAATAATAATAATAATAATGTGCAACTGAAAAAGGAAGATTTCAGAATGCTCACCTGTGGCCATCAAGAAAAACAGTACTCTTCCTTAATTCTCAATGCCTTTGAACATCTGAATTCCAGAAAATCCTAGAGGCCTCTGAAAATGTACCTACAGATAGGGGTGTGTGTGTGTGTGTGTGTGTGTGTATCTGTCTATCTGTATGTTTTTGTTTTTGTTTTCAGAGAATCCCTACTTGCCCTGATGGGTCTGAGGGCAAACTTGTCCTGAAAAATTTAAGCAATCTGTAATGGAGAACAAGGCTTTTTCTTTCTCTTTCACATACTGAGCCCTCCCTGAATGAATATCATCAGAAGATTCTAGAATTTTTTTTTTTCTTTTCACTTCATCAAGAGCTCTGACATTCTTCTTGGAACTTTAGAGACCCATAAACTCTTCCAGAGTTTCTTTACTGTGTAGGAGAGATGCCGGGCAATGACGCCTACACAGCCTGAGGAAAGATCCCTTGTGACAGCAACAGGTCAGGTTTCTAGAGTGTAATCTGCTCTCCTGTATTTTCTCTATCATAGGTAGGCTACGGTGACTATGGTTTTGTTGTTGATAGGTTCCATAGAGTCATTTTCACTTCATAGCAACCCTATGTGACAGAACAGCCCCACAGGAATTTCTTAGCTATAATCTATATGGAAGCAGAGCTGCAAGTCTTTCTCATACAGATCTGGCGGGTAGGTTTGAACCACCACACTTTCAGTTAGCAGCTGCTCACTTAACTGTTTGTACCACAAGGATGCCTTACAGTGAGTATAAACCCAGAGAATTGACTGCCGGCATTTATAGTTATCACTTTTATGATCACTGATCATTTCATCAGGAGACAGGGAACTCTGTGAAAGACATTTTATACTTATTCCTTAAGGCTCTGCTCAAGTCCATCTTCTTAGAGAGCCTTCTCCTAGCACTCCCTACTCAGTGTTCAGTGCTCCTACTCTGTGAACTCTAATATTCTGATGCTTGTTTATGAAACTCTGAACTCAATTCCACATTCATCTATTCAACAAATATTGACTGAGCCAGAGTCTGTCTCAGTTGCTGGGGATACAGCAGAGAATAAAACAGATAAACATCTCTCATGTGTTCACTTTTACTTGCGGGGAGATAGACAATGAATAAATAAACTAATAAAATACAGTATATGTTGAAAAGTATTAGGGTGAAAAACAAAGCAGGGTATTGGGGAGGGTGCCAGGTAGAGAGATAAGCTATTTTAAAACATATGCTCAGGAAAGACTTCATTGATAAGGTCACATCTTTTTATGACCAGTATTTGTAGGAGGTGAACAAGTGAGCCATGCAACTACCTAGGAAAAGGGTGTTCCAGATGGAAGAAAAGCAAATGCAATAGCCTAGAGGCAGGTATTCCCTTGGAAAATGTGTTCAACAGGCCAGTGTAGCTAGAGTGGAGTGACAAGGAAGAGAGAAGGAAGAGATGAAATCAAAGAGGTAGCAGGAGGACAAATTATGGGAGCTCTGTGGGCGTAGTGCCCCCAGAGTTAACCAGAAGGCTGGTTGTTGAAATCCACCAGCCACTCCTTTTAAGGAAGATTGGACAATCTACTTCCATAGAGATACCACCTTGGAAACTCAAGGAGGGGTTGCTATGAGTCAGACCCTACTCGACGGCAGTAATTAGTAATGTAGTACAGACATCCTGTGAACACTCACTTTTATTCTGAGACAGGTTTTGAAAAGATCAGTAATATCACACAACTTTTATGTTAAAAATCTCTCTCCAGGTGTTGGATTATAATAGACTGTAAGGAGAAGGGCAGAAGCAGAAAGAGAAAATAGGAAACTGTTATACAAATCCAGGCAGGAGATGACAGTGGCTTGGAAAAGGAGAAAGCATGAAGTGTGTAAAGTAGTTAGATTCTTGATATATTCTTAGGGTATCACTAAAACGAATTACATATCACTGGAAATATTGATACCTGGGAAGAAACAACCAGACTTAAAGAAAAGAGTATTTTTTTTTTCCCTACCATCTTCTTCCCTACATTTTTATCAGGAAAAAAGGCATTTACTATATTCCTAAGATAAAATAAAATCATTAAAATAATGAGAACTTTACCTATGTCTATAAAGGAAATAAGAAATTACTCTATGTAGACCTACCTGCATTACAGGTTCTTAACTTTCATTCACAGTGTTAACTCTACATGTATCCATTATTTCCTGAATTTGTAGCTAGATACAAAAGTTAAGGAAATATTTTTGCACTGAAAATGATAGTGATTATAACATGATGAGAATAAGAACTAGAGTATATTTATAAGAGAATGATAAATTTCTTGAGTTTAGGAGTTGCATTTTCATTAGTAGGTTTTCTACCCTATATCATGTAATAAAATGTTTAAAATATTCTTCTTTCACACATTCTTCATCAAGTATTTTTCAGTACCCCTTATGTATCAGACTTTGTGCAAATGGTGAGCAAAATACACATAATCCCTATCTGTTCATAAACTTCTTCCTAGGAGTCAGAGAGATGTAATAGCAAAGTCAAAGAATCAAAAACAAATAAATATTAAATTATAATGTGATATATTATTAAGTAAATGTAGAAAGTGTTATGAGAGTAAATAAAAGGAGAACTATTATGCTATTTCCTGGCTTAGAAAATTCTTAAGATGACTATATGGAAGGCTAAAGTTCTAGGTTTAGTTTTGAACCTATTGAATTTGAAGTACCTTCAAGTACACAGTTGGATAAATGGATTTGAAGCTTAAAGCAGAGGTCAAGGCTAGAGAAACAAATTTATAAGCCCTTGGCATACATGTGAAAATAGGCAAGAGGGAAAAGAAAAGGGCATAAATCTGAGACTTATGCAACTACAGCATAATATGGCTGGATAGAACCATTAAAGATGACTGAGAAGGAATATCTGGAAAGGTAGGACAAGACCAGAAATGTGCAATGTCATTAAAGCTGAGAGAAGAAAGTAGTTCAGGATCAAAGGAAAGCCCTTGAGTATTGAATACTGCTGAGCGTTCAAAAAAAATGAGGATGAAAAAGACAAAGAAATTCGAAAAAGAAAAACAGTTCAGAATTAGACAAATGGATGTGATTAGTGACTCGATTAAGAATCATTTGGGTAAAGAAATGAGAATGGATTTTGTTGAGTAGTGGGTGGTTTAAGAATTTGTAGGAAGAAGAAATAAGGACATTTTTTATCAGGGAAAAAAATAAAGCCCTCACTGAGGAATGCAGTGGAGTCTTTGGGTGCTGCAAATGATTAGCAGGCTGTGCTTCTAACTGAAAGGCTGGAGGTTCAAGTCTGCTTGAAGCACCCCAGAATAGGCTGAAAAATCACCCACTGAAAACCCTATGGAGCATAGTTCTACTCTGGTACACACGAGGTCACTGTGAGTCTGAGTCGACATGATAGCAATTGGTTTTATGTTTTTTTTTTTTTTGGTTTAAGGAATACAATATCTTCCAGTACTTTCTACACTGAACTACACTATTCTAAACTACACCAAACTGCTCAGACACAGCCACACCCCTGTTTATGCAATATTCTTTCTTTGGCTGAAAATGTCAGAGGAAGTGCCTTCCTAATATAAAACCAGGAAGAGGGATTTTTACAACTCTAACATTTCATACTGGAATAGATCACTGTTGCCACGTGGTAGGCTTTGTTTGTTTTAGGTCAAAGGAAGCATAATTGTTCCTGAAGAATAAATACCTCTTTGGATCCCCATAAGGATGAATTGCTGATAATTTAGAGGCACAACCATATTTATTTTCATCATTAAAGTGTCAAGTCAGACTTTAAGAAACAGAGCACTGGTACTTTACCTCCAGGACTAAAATCCATTTTTAAAATTTTCATGTGCGATTTCTCCACAGATTGCAAGACAACAGCAGCAGCTTCTGCAGCAACAACACAAAATCAATTTGCTTCAGCAACAGATCCAGGTCAGAAATCAGAATTTCATATATACTTCCAATTATAGTATATATTTTGTTTCTCATTCTTATGTGACTTAACTGAAATAGCCTTCAAAATAAAAATTACTCTCAGCCTAATTCACAAAAATGTTGGTTCCTGTACATGCAAATCTTGCAACTGGTGGTTTTCTGTGACATAACTTACTGTGTTGGGGAGCTGCATGTTAGGCAAGCTGATAGTAATTTCCAGTCTATGATGAGAGGAGATTATTGTAAAAGGATGTTTAACTTTTTTTTCCTATACGTTAATGTTCAAAATGTGTCTGTCAGTGTTCTTAAAGGTTTGGTGCAAGGGAACCAAAGCAGATAGGTACTGTAGATTTTCAGTTTGAGGGCCAGTGATGGAACTTTTTTATTTTTTTTACTGTCTGCTCAAAGACCATGTGTGATAAAGGTGGGAGTTAAGGAAGGTAATGGTTTGGCATCCAAGTTAAATTTCACCCTTGATATTATCTGTAGAAACCAAGTCTGAGGGATCTGTCACCTTCATATTTTTCTTATATGGGAATTTAGAATTATGAGAAGAATCAAATAAGGAGAGAAGGCACTGAATCGGTTTTTTAAAAAATTAAATTGTCAAGGATGTCCTGTCTCTACCACTTGCTAGTGGCATAAACTTTCATAATATTTTTAGGTCCCTTTTCTGAAAATGGGGATAATAAAAACACCTACTTCATAGAGATTTATGAGAATTTAATGACATCGCGTATGGAAGCCATAGTATAGTGCCAAAGCTCATAGTAAGTCCTTCAGTACAGATTTACTCTGACTAGCAAAAACAGAAATCTCATTCATTAAGCTATAAATCCAGCCCTTGTTGTTGTTGTTGTTAAGTATCCTCAAATTAGTTCTGACTCATAACAACCTGATGTATAAAGGAACAAAACATTGTCTGGTCCTGTGCCATTCTCAAAATTGTTACTATTTTTGAGCCCATTGTTGCAGCCACTGTGTTAGTCCATCTTATTGAGGGTCTTCCCCTTTTTTGCTGACCCTCCACTTTACCAAGCATGATAACTTTATCCAGGGGCTGGTCCTTCCTTATAACATGACCTAAGTACCAGAGACAAAGTCTCATAGTTCTTGCTTCTAAGGAGCATACTGGCTGTACTTCTTCCAGGACAGATTTATTCATTCTTCTGGCAATCCATGTATTATATTCAATATTTTTCATCAACAACGTAATTCAAATGTATCGATTCTTATTTGGTCTTCCTTGTTCATTGTCTGACTTTCATATGCATATAAGGCTTTTGAAAATACCATGGCATGGGTTAGGCACACCTTGGTCTTCAAAGTATTAAAGAATCGATGCATTGAATTGTGGTGTCAGTGAAGAATACTGAAAACACCATGGACTGCCAGAAGAAAAAACAAATCTGTCTTGGAAGAAGAGAGCCAGAATGCTCCTTAGAATCAATGGCCAGACTTCATCTCATATAATTTGGTCATGTTGTCAGAAGTGATGGGTCCTTGGAGAAGGATATTATGTTTGGTAAAGTAGAAGGTCAGAGAAAAAGAGGACGACCCTCAAAAATGAGAAGGATTAACACAATGGCTATGACAATGGGCTCAAGCATAGAAAATATTGTGAGGATGGTACCAGACCTGGGACAGTGTTTTCATTTTGTCGTACATAGGGTCACTATGAGTAGGAGCCTACTTGATGGCACCTAACAACAAAAAACCAACAACTTGTTGTAAAAAGAAATCCTTGACAACTTCGATCTTTTCTCCGTTTATCATGATGGGTTGCTTATTGGTTGTGAGGATTTTCATTTTCTTTATGTTGAGAAGTAAGCCATACTGAAAGCTGTAGTCCTTAACCTTTTAGTAAGCTTTAAGTTCTCTTCATTTTCAGCAAGCATGGTTGTGCCATCTGCATATTACAAGTGTTAAAGACTCTTCCTCCAATCTTGATGCCATGTTGTCCTTCATATAGTCCAGCTTCTCAGATTATTTCCTCAGCCTACAGATTGAGTAAGAATGGTTAAAGGATACAATCTTGATGCACACCTTTCAGATTTTAAACCATGCAGTATCTCCTTGTTCTGTTCAAACAACTGCCTCTTGGTCTATGCACAGGTTCTTCATGAGCACATTTAAGTGTGCCAGAAATCCTGTTCTTTACAGAGTCATCCATAATTTGTTATGATCCACACAGTCAAATGCCTTTGCATAGCCAATAAAACACAAGTAAACATCTTCCTGGTATCCTCTGCTTTCTGCCAATATCCTTCTTACATCAGTAGTGAAAATTCTTATTCCATGTCCTCTTCTGAATCTGGCTTGAATTTCTGGCAGTTCCCTGTTATGTACGGCTGCAACTGTTCTTCAATTATTTTCAGCAAAGTTTTACTTGTATGTGATATTAACGATAGATACTACTATCATTTACCTGGAGATGACTGTTAGTTTGCAGTTGACTAATTTGGGGAGAAAAATTATCATTCTCTTGACTTTATATTTTAAGAATCCAACATATTTTAATAAGTATATGTATATATATCACAAACATAACAAACAAAGATTTCCAGATTTTTTCATTCACAAATTGAATAGGTTTTAACTTCTTTTGCCAGCAAAGTTTCTCCAATTTTTCTAAATGGGTCATGTACACATAATTTCAAGATCATCTGGCCCAATGGGGGTTTATTCATTTTTGTTCTGGGGTCCCTAGGTGGCACAAATGGTTAAGCAGTTGTGTAATAACCAAAAGGCTGGAGGTCTGAATCCAACCTGAGGTACCTTGGAAGAAAGTCCTGGTGATTTACTTCTAAAAGTTTATAGCCATTGAAAACCTTATGGAACTGTGCATTGTACTCTGAACAACATGGAGTTACCCATGTGTCAGAATTGTGGTGATTTTTTTTTTTTTTTTTAATTCTTTTTGTAACTGGGATATTAAGTGAGCTGGTCAGAGCCTCTGTGGCATGCTCCAGCCAATGGTTTTTACCTTCCTTTTCTGTAGTTTTGAACCACACATTTCTAATGTGCTATCACCTATTCACATTTGGAGTGTGGTTATTAAATTCATTGGTTTAAAATTATCCTTAGATTTTATGTTTTTCAGCCTAAGTACATTGATTTTGAATATAGTTTGCTGATGTCACCAGGTTATCTATGTTTAAAATGTTTTTAATTGTTGAAAAAACTCACTATGATTAAAAAAAATATGATGTCACTTTCTATTGTAAACAAGATATAAATCCATAACAAGAATATGGCCCTTTGCAAGCCACTTTCTTTCATTGGGATTTAATGCAGTACCAATAGTTTTAATTTCTTTTTCAATTTTTTTTTCTACCATGTCCAACCACAACCTAGTCTCCTCCCCTCCCCATCTTGCAACCCTCCCCCTGTGCCCCTCATATTTACGCGCTCCTGTTTGTCCTGCATTTCCTCAATTTGAATGTTGGTCCTCTTGTGTCCCATGGTCTATTGCCCTAAGGGATGTACTACCGTAGAGTATGTGGGTGCATCATCCTGGGTTGAGTGGCTGTGTGTACATCTTGTTAACTATTGAGCTGAGAGCCCACCCCTGGGGGTGAGTTTTACTCCAGGCACTATTGAGGCTATTGAGACAAGACCTTTGTTAAACAGAGTTGCAAAATATGTCAAGCCTATGTGTTAGGTATTTATAAAGCTCAATAAGCTATGTGCTCTGATCACTTCAATTGAGCCACCATCTTCAGTGTACTTTTTGGTATCATTACACTGTTAAAACCACTAGACTCATAAGGTGGATTTTAAGGTCTGTCCTAATAGTAAGTATTGCAGTGGATGAATTTCTTGCTCTGAAGCTTATATAAGTCAGGCTTTCTTTTTATGAAAAGGTCTTTAAAAAGTCAGGATTTCTTTTTATGAAAAGGTCTTTAAAAATTATCTCCTGGAAACAGTATGATTATAGAAAGTATATCAAAGAGCACTAAGACCAAGTTTAATGACTTGCTCAAGCTCACAAAAGTAGTTATTTGTGGAAAAGTGATGAGAACTTAAGTTTTCTAATAGTAGAAAGTTTGCTGAGTATGAAAATGTAATAGCTTAGAAGCTGCTGACCTCTACTAGATCACAGAGTGGGAAAACAAAAGAAAATAAAACCAACCACAATAAACAAACCGTCCCTAAAGGAAATGATGTCACACTACAAATAATTTGAGAGGAACATTAAGAGGTATTGAGGTACTTTATCTATGTATTTGTATTCATTCAAGGGTTAGTGCAAGAAAACAAAATCGAGGGAGTGAAAACTATCAAGTGCTTATTGGGAAAAAAAAAAGCCTGAATTAGGGGAATTAGGACATGTTTGCTCCAGACAACAAAAAAGTTATGAGCAAGACATATAATCTAAAAGGAATTCATTTGTACAATTTCTAGTATAGTCATTAAATAAAAGTATAGTTTTATAGTCAGAATAAGTTGTTAATTTGGGGGCAGTCTTTTACATACTTAATAATAAAGTTACAATATGTTCAAATTATTTAATCTACTGAGAGATTTTTCAAACAATTGTGAGAAGCCTAAAGTAGTGACATGTGTAGGAACAGAAGATTTAAGAAGTAGTGCAGATTTGGTTTTCTCATATAAACTCAGCACGTTTCTTCTTAGAATATTTTTTCTTCCTTTTCTCCTTCTTCTCTCTTCCTCCTTTTCTTTGTCAAAATAGAACAAAGAGGAAGAAAAATAAAAATCAACCCCATTATGATGGAAAGCAAATCAAAATTTTAACAAATATTATTATAAATTATATTTATAATCCATGCATATATAATCAAATCCTCCCATAAAAAAAATATCATAGATTAAAATTCTTTGGTATTTGAAAATACCCAGCTATCAAATTTTGATTTTGATATTTTTATTGTCTTTCATAAATATGGAGCCTTATGACCTTGTAGAAGTAAAAATTCCAATTTACATTATTTATCTTGATTGCATTATCTTAGGTATTTTGTGCCATTATTGTT